AGTGCTTTTTGTCTGAGTGAATGCCTGTACCACTGTCTACCTCATCAAAGCAATGCACAAGTGCAGCTCACTGGTTATTAACCCTGCTAGGACTGGGACCAGCCAACTCAGGGTTAAAAGCATGACAGCAATACAGTAAACAAGTTTAGAAGGAGAAAAAAAAAAAGAGCAACAAAAATAGGATGTGACAAGTGCTTATTTACGTAGGCAGTTTTCAGGAGTTGAACTGCACTTCTATACATAAATGCATTGTACCTTTAGCAAAACCTTCCTCCTGAATAGCTAATAAGTTCTATTTAAGTGCTTCCACCAATGAACTGACAGACTTTAGTTTCTGTGAAACCATTTTCGTTATCCTTCTGCCCCAAAAAGTTGGAGGTAGCTGGAGTCATTTTGGTGCACCTCCTGCAGGCTTATGAATTATTGAAGACAAAACGTAAAGTGGCCGCACCAAGAAAAAGGCCAACAGCAAATGCATTTCCTTCATCACCAAGATTGCTTAAAGGGTCCTGGAAACACCTGCAGATTGTGTACTTAGCAAAAGGAGTGGTGGAAGAGACCTCACCTGACTCAACAAAGGCTGAAATCTCTAATTGTGTACTGTCAGCATATGGAGGTGCCAACTGTGCGCATAAGCAACATGCAGATGTTGCTCTGTGGCACAGCACCAGGCTTCCAGCTTGCTCTCTCAAGTATTTCAGGCCCCACAGAATCCATTTGCTGCTAGAAGAGATGTTGGTTGGTGGTTAAATAATGTACTCAGATCAGTAGAAGGTAACAAATAGAAGCTTGATTCCATTTGGCAGAAGAAAATGACTGGTTACGAGCAGTGTCCCCCTGTAGGGGTGGCTATTGGGGCTGGCCCTGTTTAATATCTTTATTGAAGATGTGGATGAAAGGATAGAGTGCACATTCAGTAAATTTGGAGATGACATCAAGTTGGCTGAAAGTGTCGATCTGCCTGAGGGAAGGACAGCCGTTCTGGATAGGCTGGATCACTGGTCTGAGGCTAATAGGATGAAGTTCAGCAAGACCAAGTGCCAAGTCCTGCATTTTGGCCACAACCTCAAGCAATGCTACAGGCTTGGGCAGAGTGGCTGGAATACTGTGTGGAAGAAATGGACCTAGGGGTGTTGGTCGATGCTCGGCTGAATGTGAGCCAGCAATGTGCCCAGGTGGCCAAGAAGGCCAATGGCATCCTGGCTTAGGATCTCCACACCAATTCCAACGGTCAGGAGAAACCACTATATCCAGACCAAGGCCTTATGTGATGCTTAAATTATATCTCTGTTCCGGAAGGATTCATTCTGGAGAGGAAGTTTACTATTATTTAAAAGTGGAGTTTATGACGTGTAATATCTGCTATAGTTAAAAAACAAAAATAAACAAACAAAAAAACTAATTAACCTCTCCTTGTATAAGTCATTATACAAATAAGGAAGCTGTAACAGCACAGTGGGTGGTTTTAATGCCACATCAAGTTGTTCAGCGCTTGTTGTACACCATGACTACCCCTAGAAAATCTTAAGCATGTTAATGGGATGAAGCTACCAAGTGATATTCTCGTTCTAAATATAGTGTTGTGATTTCTTAGTATTAAAGGAAATAGGTTTATTATTATCCTGGATAATAATTCAAGTTACTCATCAGATAGGAGTCTCTCACATCACGGTTTGTGGGTCACCAACAGTCATTAAGGCTGTCTTAAAATTCCCTTTCTCCTATTTGGTTCCCAGAACAAGGAAACAAACTTATAAAATGGAAGAAAATGCAAACAACCTATTTTAAATGTGGTTGAAGTTTTAATTATTTGCAAATCAAAGTTATTTGGGCAACATGCCAAGAAGCTCTAGTTTTGTTTTCGTTAGAACCTTGTAGAAGTACAGTGTGAGAAGTGCCACAATTTCTGTAAAAGACTTAATTACATGAAGTATGTGCTTGCTTTAGAGCTAAATTGGGTATAACTGAAATAAAAAGTGGAAATTTGAGATGTTTTGGGTGATGTCTTCTATCTACTTGTTTGGCTTCTTTATGCAACAATACCCATTAAAGATAAAAGCGACTCAGTTTCTCAGCTTCTAATTGTAATAGCCTGATTAGGAAAACGCAAGGAAAATATTTTACAAAATGCACTCCGCTGTGGAATGGAGCTCAGTTCCTCAGAAAATCTTGAGAAGTGATATCTGCATAAGCAAGTTTGTCTATACGTACATGTACGTACACATTCATTCTGCTTCTTGACAACAAATGTTGCAATTACATAATCTAAGAATCCCAGGATTGTGCTGTCACTGCTGATTCTTGGAAACCTATATGCCAAAATTCGCTGCTGATAACCAATGGAGAATGTACCACAATTCAACTAAGTAGTTCTGGAGGCTGTAGATGGAAATTTAGTGCCAGCCCTCTGTGCTGCTTGTCAAGGATGGAAAGACAAACAGACAAAGAACGTGAATTAAAGGAAAGACCCTAAAGCCCAACATGCAGAAAATTACACTCCTGAGGAAACTGATGATATCATCTGTGATAAGCTGTGCTGACACTACTGATTTTTTAAACTGTCTCAGGGGTGTGGACTAGTCTCACCAGTCTGCTTCTTGGAGGCTTTATGCTTCTTCCAGAACTACAGCAGGAAACAGAGCAAATGCCATCATCTCCTTGGCCCAGCCTTACCACCAGCCTCATCTGAGTACCAGGACAGATGTGAGGATTTTCACACCAAGGCTGAAGGACGTTGTCTTGTACAGCACTCTACAACCAGACCAGGCTTCTTAGGGAACCTAAGACACCAGGTACCAAATCTGCAGATTAAAGGATATGACTGTTAAGATGGAAACAGTTCTATGTCTTTGAAGCAGTAACAATTTAAATACACAGGAGTAACAATCTTTGCCTCTACAATTTCCAAAGAGATGAAGCAACAGTTTTATGAACTGTGCCTTTGTGTTCACATGTTCTGATTGTACCCAAGACCCATTTTAGGACAGCAGAGTTTTTGCAAGCTGCACTTTTGCAGTCAGAAGATCAAATCTCATCCAGTCTTTTTGTGAACCTATGTCTAAGTCTGCTGAGATGAGGGCAAGCTCCCAAGGAATAAGAGAGAAACTAGGCAGGTGAGCAAGCTGCTCATCACATCACTAGAAATCACCTGCAGCAATGCCAAACTAATGCACTCAGTCCTCTCTCCCTTCCAGTGTAAGGAGAAAGCTAACTGGGAATTCCCAGGCTGGTTGTAAGGTACAGATGAACACCTTCTGAACATTAAAACACACTAAAAATTATTTTACTTGTTGCTGAGATTATGGATGGACATTTGCATCAAAATAAATCAATTTCTGCGCTGTTCTCTTACACTGAGGATCTTCGCATCTGACAAATAAACAAAGTAGTTTCCAGAGGCAAAACATTTGTGAAGTTAGATTAATATGCTGCCAAAGAAATAGTATCTGTTTTTCCCAGTCCAGTTGAGGAGTAAAGTACCAAACAGGTGCTGTTCTGCATGGCAGTCTGCGTGAGCGTTCTCCAAAGACAATCCTTAGCCAGCACAGTTTGCAACTGGTGACAACAAAATTAACAGTATTTACATGATTTGCTTGACTACATCTTTCCATTTGCTGTCCTGTCTTCATCCTCCCAAGCATCATTTAGTAGGTAAAACATAAGCTTTGCCAGTGAACAGACAAGGAAAGAATTAGTTGCTTCCATAGATTCCTACTTATGCTATTGCACATATGATGTTAGAGAACTAGGCACACAACTATTATGCTTTTACAAGCACTGCTCATTATCTTCACTCACTTCATGGCACTTTCCAGATATATGAATAGCCAAAGTTAATTTGTCAAATTTGTTAATTTGTCATAAGACTCAAAAGAGGACAAAAACTAAAAACATATTCCCTATAAAGATATAGAAAGTTGATTTGTAAGAAAAGAACTAGATTAGCAATCTCCAGCGCTCTGGTTTCAACTGATACTTCAGCGCTCTATACTTCATTTTACTCAACAAAAAGAAAGGCAATCACATGAAAACAACAGCTTGTCAGTTCAAAATTATTAGGAGGAATATTGTGGCTACCTGACACAGACATCAATTTTCGTTTTGGGCAATGACTCAGATCACACACAGGTTCCACTTCAGAAAATTAGGGATAACTCCACCATCCCAATTCTCTCCTCCCACAATGACAGCCCTCATAGTTTCTTGTTGTTTTTTTTTTTCCTGCTCATACACAAGCCTTTTTTATTACAGCATTAGTTAAGCAACACAAGTGTGTATGCCCACTACCAAGCAGGATTCTCCATGCATCCTTTTTTGCTTTATCAAGTCTGTTTGTCAGGAAAATGACACTGTATGTCAGGAAGTCTCTAAATCACCCATATTTAGTATTTTCAATCAGAGTCAAATTAAATTTTGTCATCTCTCCCTAATACAAGGAAATTGTGACAAAATGGGAATTATATGATATACTAAAAACAAAACAACAGAAAACCATCATATTCTTTCATCCTTTCAAGGAAATAACCAAATATGGCTACCTACAACTGGGTGATGTGAGAAGTAATGTAAACCTAACTTGGAAAGTCTACACAAAGCAATAAGCAAAGAAACTGCTATTAAGGGTTTCAGCCACGTTTGCTCCCTGCTGTATCAATCACACACCAGGCACACGTGGCTAACTTATCTAATAAACAGATCACAAAAACCCATCTGACCCCACACCATGTGGACATTCACTTCCACTGTATGTAAGGTGATACTGAAAAGTCTGCCATCACCCCATGCACTGACTGAATACGTTATTGCACATTTTCTGACAATTACCATCTTCATTAATGAAGGTAAAGTCTATCCAAGACACATTCAATTTTTCAACTCCCAAGTTTCACAAAAGAACTACTTCTGAAGAAAAACATTTTAAGAGAGTTCTCTAAGCTTGTAACGTGTCAGAATTCAGTAAAAATGCACTAAAATTGAGACACAGCTGTAAAAGAATCCAGTTTGCTTTTAAATAGTCTTAAATCTTTAATTTCAACAATAAATATAAACATCCAATGCACTGTTAACCAACTGTGCAGAACAAGTACATATGAAAGCTGTTGCACACTGTATCTGTTGAACCTTCCAGAGAAAGATGCATAAGAAGTGGGGTGTTTTTGTGTGTGCTTTCTGCTGGTTTGTTTTGTTTTGTTTTTCTGCGACGCAAGTCTTAGGATTTCAATTTTTGGTACTGGATTCCAGCAAGTCTTTTGCTTCGTTTATTTTTGTTGCTAAGTAAGGTGATCCACCTGGGAAGAAAGAAGGCAGAGAAATAGCATTTACATGTTTTTGCAGAGCACCAAACAACTTCACTTACAGCATCCCTTTATCATTCACTTTTATTAGCTTTTCCTTCCTAAACAGATGTTTTTCATACAGAAGATTAAAATATGGCAATGACATAAAGCAAACTGATTGATAAGGTAGCATGAAGAATGTAAACAAAACTGAAGTTGCTTAAGAATAAAGCTAAACAATTTGTCTTGGAAAGAAGTCTGAAATCTAAAAGCATTTCACACTGGTGTGATTTAGATTTGTACTGCAGCATTACTGCAAACGTATGCAAGGTCAGCTGTCTCAAACACTCATCTAAAGCTGATAGCTATTATGCCAACCCACCTCAAAAACTAAGAGGCAACATTTTATAAATAATTTTGACAAAATCATCAAGCATGTGCACGCATGCTCCAAGCCTCTCCTCCTCTAGACACCCAGAATTACCAGGCAGAAACTGTCACATTAAAGCTATTTAAACATGGTACGCCTTCTAACTTCTAGTCCTGAACACTGTCATTGCTTTACGCTCCATCTAACAATTTGATTACAGTTCAGTGGTCTTTTTGTGTTTGTTTTTTAACTCTCCCCTTGAGTGCCAACCATCTGCCTGCAGTCACTGACAACAACATTACAAGGTCTGTATCAGTAGCTTACCACTTACAGGAATGCACCTATATATCTTCATTTCTTTTTTACATAAAAATGTGATTCCAGCAATACTACTCAGCACACTAACCAGCCTTTTCCAAGGGGGCTGCTCAATCGTAACTCTTCATTCAGCACAGAAGACAGTGATAGAAGACACACAGAAGAACTAGCACTAAACGCTCGTAAACACAAAGACTTCTTCAGGTCACTTTTGCAGGAATCCACATCATTCTAAAGTCAGTTCATAGCCTAATAAAACAGCTGGAAAAAATAATGGAGTTCAGCTGTCTTGTTCATGCTCTGTTTTGCTTGAATGCAGTCCTAATAGCAAAGACATGTGAGGAAAGTGAGGCAGGGCAAGGACAGAAAATTGTCTACTACACTGAGTACTGCTTCTTTCAAAACCCTGACAAGAAGATAAAACAGTAAGGACTATAAGCTGCAATAAACTACGTATCCCAAGTAATTTTCAACTTTGCCTTCAGTTTCTACATTACTAGAGTGGATCTTAAAGTAAATTCAATTCAGTGAGAAGTGTTTTTACTATGTTCACATCCTGAAACACCCTCAAGTGCCATATTAATTTTGCAGCCCTCCAATGAGAGAAAATTCAATCTCATGATTGCCTAAGTGTTTGTTTATAATTAAAGCAAGTCCAAAAGGCTCATCTCTTCCTCTGTTTCTGTTAGCAAGCATTCTTTCACAGAATAAATAATACATATAAAAAATAACATACAGTATATCAATATAAAAACACTTTCAAACTGAACTGTGCAAAGGTTAATGAGCAACCATTTTAGTACTGCTCAACAGGGATGTTATTATGCAAACTTCTATTAGGGATTTATTTCTAATCACGGTTTCTTCATTGTTTTGAATCTCAGGTAATACGAGTAACTTTTCAAATCTGTATTCATTGATCTTTCTTCTACCAACGCCAGCTGGTAGAATTACATTCTAATGTTGGATATTGCTTTTAAAAGCACATCTGTGCTACCAGAGCCAGAAGAAATGAAGTTGAAAACATAACCAAGCAAATCTCTCTGCAATGCCACATGTTCAAGATTGTTCTAGGTCTTAAATCTGCAGCTGAGGACATTAGACAACACTTCTCTCTTTGGCCATGACAGAAGAGCTGCAGGGGCAGCATGGAGGCACAAATCCCTTCACCTGGTGCTCCTGCAGAGAAAATGCTCCATCTTAATAGCACACAGGAGGGCTCACTACATCATCAAAAACTACACTGTGCCTAGCTGCAGGTGCATTAAGCTGTAAGAACTGGCCCCTAAAATGATCTTCGTAAGAGGAACTGCTTTTTTTAGGGGCAACTCAACATCCACATGGAAATTCACAACTCTGGCTCAAGTCTCCAATGGCTGCTACAAGAAAACTTTGAAATTCATTACAGAAAACTTGTGACCTCTTAGATACTCTAGTGGTTAAGAGGTCTCTGGCCATAATAAACCAGAAAAATCTGCATATATTTTAATATATGTGTGTGTAACTTCTACATTACAAAAGTGTGAAAAACAGAAGTGTGACATCGAATAAGCAGGAAAACTTTAGAATTAAACCCAAGTGGTAAAGACAGTAAAACAGCATCGACTAAACACTTCACCCAGTCAGTGGTCAGTTACTTTTTCCATTCTTTTAAGATGGGGTAGAAGCAGGGAACCCTGTAATTCTCTCAAAAAGATACAAAAACCCCATGATTTTGCCTTTTGACTTCTGAAATACAGCGTAACTCTTCACCATCTGTTATTTTAAAGTAGAAACAGCAATGAACATATGGGCTTTCTTTCTCAAGCAGCTGTAGTGTAGTTAAAGTTATAATAATAGCCTTTCTATAAGACAAATTTACATTAAAAAACCTCACAAGTAAAGCAACAGTGCCCAGCTTTACATTCTTTTTCCAAGTGAATTCAAGGAAATCTGAAATTATGCAGAACATTTTCCCACAGAAAGTTACCTTCCTCCATGTGAGTGGTCCGTCTCATTTCAAAACAGGAACAGGAGTTTAAGAAAAATGTCACAGCTCATTTTTTTCATACTTTGGAGGAAGTTGGTTTTTGGGTTTTTGTTTGTTTGTTTTGTTTTTCCTATGTGTGTGCACCACTGGTCGTCCTACCTGAAGCAGCACCTTAAGAAAACCTTAAAGAAACTGGTTAAAGCTGTGGTTCGTAAAGCCTGGAAATCAGTCTGCTTTATCTGATGCACAGAAGCTTAAGTCTATAAATAAACTTCACACAGCACGGTTATTTATATAATCAGTAAACTGAAAGGATCTCATTTAGGGCTCTTCCTTTCCAGCTTTGATTAAAACAAACAAATAAATAAATATTTACCTTTATCAGGATGATTCAAGATCATGATTCTTCTATGGGCTGCTCTGATTTTGGCCTTGTCAGCAGATGGACTGCAAAAATAAATTGAAGTGCTTACCATAAATTCCACTGCATTCAGGCTATAAATTAGCGGTTTATACTGGCTTCAAAAATAATTAAAACTTGAGATTTTCCCCATCTTGTGGACAAAACATAAAACTGCATCTTTGAGGAAGCAATACCAACAAAGGGATGTAAGTCACACCGAGGACATTTTTAAAAAGCCTTTGTATTTGACACGTGCAAACATCCTTCCGTTCCTGTTGATTTGTTTCTTTTTTCTTCAAACTCAATAAACCCACAGCCATTTAAAATACATAATTTGGAGGAAAAAAAGAGCTCCGCAATACAGATGGTTGGCATTCTTATCATCAAATGCAGAAAATACATCTTTGCTCCCAGAAAACAGGTATTTATACGACCAATGACAAAACATCAAATATTTAATATTATCATATTTTGTTCTACTGTAAATATTTTTATAGTTGCTATAAATACTTTCTGTTGGAGCCCAGGAAAAAAACAACTATCTGTTATTTTTTGCAAAGCTGTTCAACGTGTTGCATTCAGGGACATGTTGATTTACAAGAGCTACATAATGTTGTTTCCTTCAATGACAGATACATAAAATATGTACTCCAACTAAATTAAACATGTACCTTACCAGACAAATAACCACTTATGGATGCAATATACCGGCACAGTAGGCTCTGGTATGCAAAAGGACAGATGGAATGACTTGTTTTTTTGTAATTTGTTAGCACACAGAAATGAAACAGTGTTTTCCACTTCTTCATCAGAAATTACTCACTTAATTCTTCTGCAGGTAGAGTTTGAATGCAAGATATCAGCCTAACTCCCACAGTAAACAACCCCTAATTATTTTACTATCACAGGGAAATGAGGGTATGTTACAAAAATACTTCATAGAACATTTCAAAACATGTAAAAAACTGCAAAGAAAGAACATTTCAATTGAACAAGGTAAGAATTAACCAGAAGCTTTGAACTATAAACTATAAAAAATGATTTACTATCAGATAGCTAGAAATAAAATATACCCATATTTTTATTTGTAAATCAGCTGTTTAATAGTATTTTCTCATTGTAACAATAAAACCTGAATATAATAAAGCATTACTTCGAAATTCAGATGGGCAACATTTACCTGGAAAAGTTGCAGCTGCCTATTATGGAAAATCATGCAGTTTTGTCCTAACAAGCAACTGCAAAGATTCTATTTTATATAATTTTGATTAGTTAATGACATACTGCTCATCTGGCTCTAAAGACTGCTCTTTAAAACCTTAAATGGCATCATAAAAAAATACCTTCATGTCAAAATCATGCTCTTGTTGAACTGGTACAACCTCACAACCTGAGCCATCTGTGTCCTTGCTGATGGGCTTCTGTCAGCCTCTTCTTAGAGGCTGCCCAGCTCCTCCTGAACATCAGCCCTGCCTTCAGATGCATTGACCATTTCCACAAATGATAGACCCTTCAGTCAGAGGAATGTTGGTGAGGCTGGAAGGGACCATGGTGGTGGGGAGCAGGCTCATCAAAAGCCATAGTGAGGGGCTTGGAACCTGGCTTGTGAGGAGAGTTATCACACCCTTCAGAAATTTAGCATTAGCAATTTCATAGTAGTGAACCATTATTCTTAGCACATCTGTATTTTGCTACTGTAAAACATTTTTGGTTTAGGTTTAGGAAAAAAAATATTTTCACTTCCCATGTTATCTCAGACACTCCCCCATATTTCATACCAACACTTCCTCCTACTGAATGTGCAGTTGTTAAAATTAATGCAGGTTGTATTGAATTTCAGCCACCTGTTCTTCACAGAATAAAACTTAAGATTTGGAAGAGAATAGATTTAGACTAATTATTAGAAAGAAATTCTTTACTATGAGGGTGGTGAAACACTGGAACAGGTTGGCCAGAGAGGCTGTGGATGCTCCCTCCCTGGAAGCGTTCAAGGCCAGGCTGGATGGGGCTTTGAGCAACCTGGTCTGAAGGGAGGTGTTCCTGTGCCTACAGCAGGGGGTTGGAACTACATGGTCTTAAAGGTGCCTTTCAACCCAAACCATTCTGTGATTCTATGATTTGTTAACATTTTTAGTACCGCGCTCTTTAGCTTTGGACACCTTTTCCAAAGATAAATGCAAACAATATACATGCATGTTTCTGCCAAAACCCTTGCAATTTTTGAATATGGTTATTACAGAAGAACATCTGGAATATGTAAAAAGTCAACGTACTTGACATTAAAAAGCCACCATTATATCATCAGAGGATCACAGAATGGCTTGGGTTGGAAGGAATCTCAAAGATCATCAAGTTCCAGTACCCCTGTTGCACACAGGGTTGCCATCCACTACATCAAGTACTAAATCAAGTTGCCCCATTCAAACGTTCACCTTTATCATGTCTCATGGTTATTACTTACAGAGTGTCCATACATACACCTGAAATAATGAATAAAGCCTCTGCTTAAAAATTTAGTATGACTTGGAGGTGATGACAAGACAACAAAGGATAGCATAATAAGATCAATCTCTAGACAACCTAGTTCTGGAGCCTGGCAGCCTTCATAACACTTTAAAACTCTCTTGCTTTTTTTTGGTGGCCCTTCTATACATACACTATAGTAAACTGAGTTAAAATTGGCCAGTAAGAGTTCTTTTCAAGCAGTGTGAGAACTTCCCATGAAGATATTAGCCACGCAGCTACACAATTAAAGGCTCAACCCTTCAAACATTAAGGACTTTAGTTGTATCTGATTATGAATGCTAATTGAAAGACTGAGCCCAAACACATCAAGCAGTGTCACTGTTCAGACTCAAGCTATTAAGACAAAAAATTAACAGGGGACTGATTACAGATATGAGGAAATTTCAGACATGTACATGAGAGTGTTCAGAGTAAGCTGTAAACACAGAATCACAGAATCACAGAATCACAGAATCACCCGGGTTGGAAGGGACCCCAAGGATCATGTAGTTCCAACCCCCCCTGCCTAGCAGGGCCACCAAACATACACATAATACACAAACACACTTTAATGAGCTGCAGTGTGCTACTCTGGAACATCACAGAACGTGCCCTTCCAAAGTAAGTGAAAATATTAATATCAAACTCATAGGTCCGAGGATAAATTTCTGTATAACATTCCTATAAATCTGCTGTTCTATGTGCAAGCATGAGATATTTGAAGAAAATATGTGCGACCTGCTGTAGGGAACCTGCTTTGGCAGAGGGGTTGGCCTCAATGATCTCTAGAGGTCCCTTCCAACCCCTACAATTCTGTGATTCTGTGAAAATGTTATCATTTATTTTACAGATTCTTAAAACGAATGCCACATCTGCATATTTCCATTATGTCAGAAGCAAACATACTCTTGTTTGGCTGCTATTTCTAAGCCCCAGTTTTCACCACCTAACTTCCGGAGAGAATTCAAACCATCCTCCTTATTTTTTCCTCATCTTAAAATTATGAACTAATCTAAATCAGAAAATCCACCACCTCAGGTCAGATCCGCTCTTCTCAGCTGGAGAGCCCTCAAACTCACCATTTGTTTTACAGAAAACACTAAGACATGTGCTACTGTTGGCCATCTATGTTTCTGAAAAATTTCTACTCAAAAATCTATTGATTCTGCAGCTTGGAAATAATTTCCTATACCCAATCTAAATGACAAGTCTCTCAATGTATTTATGCTTGGAATACGCTGCAGCTCTTTTAATCCATACAAATCAAAGAGTATAGAAAGGAAAAAATGCATTGTATGGAAAAAAAAAAGAAAAAAAAAAAAGCAAAATTGATCTGTCTTCCTTCTTCATCAGTATAATCTACAATATTGCTCATTTCAAGGTTTTTATTGGAAACCAAGCCATGTGATTGCACTAATTAGCACAGTATGTGCTATTCTGACTATTTTAAGAGCACCAATTCTCCACTGCAGTATGTTACCAAACCTTCAAGCCAAACACGAGTCACATATTTTATTAGTATTTTATTGTTTGCTTTCTAGCTTAAGCAGAATATTAAAATGGTTTATAAGCCATTACAAGCCTTTGGAAAAAAAAAAAAAAAGATTTTGGCTGGAGTATTCTATGTTCTTGCAATATGCATTTTCTTCATTCCATACTCACCAAACAAAACCATATTAATGCAGCACACTTACCTTACACCTAAAATAAGACTTGCTTCACGCCTACTCATTTTCTGCTCAAATCCTCCTTTATAGTATAATGAAAGACTCTAGAAAGAAAAAAGGCAAAACAAGCAATAATTAGTTTCATGTACGACGTGCCATGACCTAAATCATATTTATTCCACCCCACTGAGAGCCTAACATTCATCTGTAACTTACTTTGAAGACATGGAACGGGTAGAAAACAGATAATATGAAAGGACTTCTCCTGGGTGTTAACACATACAAAAGCCAACTTAAAAATAGCTATCTGTGTTTTTACAATCTTCTAATGCTAATCGGAGGTATTAATAGCTACAATCATTAAAATCCTGCCTTCAGGCAAAACAGTCCAGAATCAAAGTACATGCTACTATAAAGTGATACACTGTACGTGTTCGTGAGGGCAGGGAAGAGAAAGGGAAAAAGTTGTTAAAAATAGCTTTGGTGGCACTGAAATGGAAAATGGCAAGAGTGATTATGTTCTGGCACCCAAGAATTAGCAAGTGGTGACTTTAGTCACTGTTTGAAGAGGAAAGGAAGAATAGAGACCAGAGATTAGGCTGCAAATCTTTCTTAGAGAAGAATAAGGGAGTAGTCCATTGCTACTGCCTAATAATAGTCTAAGATGCAAAATTTCCAGTGGCAACAGATGTAGCTCCAAAATGCAGCCTTTGGGAACTGGCACACAGAAATCACTGAACAAGATGGAAGTTTTTTTCTCAATGCAAACATTGGTAGGGGAAAAATAAGCCATCATAAGGAAGTCTAGTCTGAGAAGAGTTGAGATTATTTTTAAATGTTCCTTTCACCCCCAAGCAAAAGTGTGCCTGGCCCTTAATAAAACACTTTTCTCACTAGCTACTAAATACATCCATTCATATCCAGTGAGAATTTTGCATTGCATTTATACAAACTCAAGTAATATCAAAAGCATTAAAGCATTTACAAGGGTCTCTCTATGATGCCGAAGCAAAGTGCTTAAGGTCAGGAACAACATTCACCCAAAAGTGTACTTCAGAAATGATCAGGAGTTGCTACCAATACAGAATGTCTCTGAAGGCAGCAATTCCCAAGAGATTTGTTGTAGTTTGCTACAGTCCGAAGCAAATCTTATTTTTCTTCTTTTCACCCCTGCAAATCATACATGAGATAATCATCTCTGCAATAATTCAGCTACCGTCAAAACTGATCTGACTGCAAACACATTGCACCTACAACAAAAATCTGTTGAGGAACTACTGCTACAGTTGCAGAGTAAAACAAAGCACATCTGTAATAGTACTCAGTAACAGCACAGGCTAGAGCATGGAATACTCAGGGAACGCAAATGGTTTCTCCAGTCCTCCAAGAGGAAACAATTTGGTGATTAAATGGCCACCAGGTAATGTCCTTGAAGAGGTAAAACTGCCCAGAAATTTGCAAGGACACTGAACAATTACTACAACCAGGAGAGAAAAGGACGCCTAAATGCCTTGTGAAGCGTTTCCCAGAACTTCTTCCAAGAATCTTAAATACAGATAGATTTCTGAAAAGGTTAATTCCTCTCTGCTCTTCATGCATAGCACACAGCTCTAAAAATAAGAGGACACTCTTGGTTCCCTCTTCATGTAGAGAAGAACAATATTTGAATTCTCTCTTAACAAAATTCCTTTCTGTTCTTGGTAGATATCACTTAAATAGCTCATTTGATATCACGGAATAAGGAGGAATGGCTATAGGCTTAAATTCAGAAATACTTTTTCATGTTTGTAAAGCACCCGTCCTTGAAATTGTTCTAACTTCAGGAAGCTTTCATTCGGTTCGCTTTCCAGAGGAATGAAATAACAAATTATGGTTTTTTTATGTCCTTTGGCAAATAAACAAATACGAACTTTCAAAATCAGCCAGGGGAAGTGGTCAACAAAAAACATTTTCTTCTCAGAAGTGAAGCACAGGATAAGGATAATGAATTTCTTACATTAAGATCTAGATCTTCAACAGAATTTAAAGCAGAAGTGATTTAGATGTAAAGTCATTGTTCCCCTTGGTTAGAAAAGGGGGAAGAAACATCAAGTCTTCATTTTAGGAAATATCTCAGCAAATTTCTAGGTCCAAAATAAAGCAACTTTTCCATGCTATTCAAATTAAAATTGAGAAAAACATGACTTAATTTCTAGTAATGACTGCAGTGAAAAGAAACTACATTCAGATATTCTTCTGCTACAACTTCCTGATCTGCACACAGTTCCAGACACTATTATTTAACTCTGGCTATTGCAAAGAATTTTTGTACTGGAAAAATCATTAGAATGAGCTCTGCATTTCTTCTTGCCATTGCAGAGGGGCAGGGGAGCTACCATTTAATTTGCCTCATTTCCGTGTATGCTGTCACTGTTTAGCAACTTACGTAAGCAAATACTGCTATTTAAAGGGTAAGGGGGAAACAGAAAATGTCTGGACTTGCTCAGATGTGTATTCATTCTTGCAAATTTTAGCATTAGGCAGTCAGCTAAGAAAATCCTGACATCTTCACGATACTTTTTATGGCACAATACAGCAGAGGAGTGACTGTTTCCATGCAAGATAAGTGATATTCGCAACTGAAACCAGACATCACGTCATCTTACATGAAGTGGTATTTGTTTCTGATAACCTGTGTGTTGTTTCACTACTGACATAATCAACTCAAGAAGGTAAACAACGCTGGAAGAAAAAAACAAATGCATGTACACACAAAATGAAAGACACGACAAAACACCTATTTAGAAGCTGTGCTATCATGTAATAGTAAAGCTTGCTGATATCAACTTTAACTTCCTTAACTTCATTTGGAGAAAAAAAAAAGTAAGATGGACTAGATATTGTAAGAGATGATTGCTACTGTTAGCTCTAAATTTAGAGATCTGTGCATCTGAGCAGAAACAGATCAAATAACAAAAACTGAGTACAAACATCTCCAGCAAAGCATTAAAGAGAGCCTTTCTTCTGGAACTTGGAATTTTCAGGACTGTTGAATTTGGAGTTTTTAACAGTTTTGCCTAGAACTGTTGTGTCTAAATTCTAAATACCATTGATTCAACAAAGAAAGGTATAGCTATTAAAATAAAAGGGGGAATAAAAACTAGGAAGTAAGAAATTAGTGTTATGATTGACAGCATTAAGGTCTGTCTGAGGAGAAAAAACAATGACTGCTGTGACTATGTAACTGCACAGAGAACCAAAACCAAAACTGGAGTTAGTGATACCAGTAACAAAATCGGGTTCAAGATAAAACTAATTTAAAAAAAGAAGTATTTCTCCAGCAATCAACAGCATAATGACTAAGTTACAGCAGCATTTATTCTTCATCATTAAGAAGTCTATAAATTTAACAGGCGTTAAGTTAAAACTGAATGAGAAGTAGGAATTCAGAGTAAAATGTTACTTACTTGCTCTTATTTGCTGTTTTTGGATGTAACTGTTGACTGTGCATGTTAGTTATTTAGCTAAGTAAATAGTGTCAGATACTCAAGATCCAACAAGTAGACATTCTAAATGTTCACTTCATAATTGCTCAACTTGACCTCACGTAAGTAATTTATTAGTGAGCAGGAGGAAAGGATAAACAGCATCACATTGTGAAACTGCAACTAACAAGAGCTGAAAGCAAGGAAGAAAAAAAAAGTTACTGCCAACAGGAAGAGAGAGTAGGAGCTTACAGAGAGAACCAGTTAGCATTTAAACAGGCAGCTCGCTTCACAGTCTTCCTAAAAAGGGTGTGATGAGGGATAGAGTTTGATTCTGGAAAGCTAAGGTAAGCACTGAAAAACATAGTGACCAAGTTAGGAACCTTCAAGCACTACAGTGAAGTAGCACTAAGCCCAGACATTGACTGTCACAAATGATTCTTTCTCCAGTAAACATCAGCAGAAGTACTGACTGCTTGATTTTCACTGTCAGCACAGTTTAGAGAACACTATATTGTAAAGAGACATGATGAAACTGCTATCCCACAGTTTATATATAAGCAGCTTCAAATTCCCCCAAACAAAATCACGTGATGCTGCTAAAATCTGGAAAATAAGTACTTACCCAGGATCTTGGTATATAGAATTTTCACTTTGTATTGTTTTAGTGACAAATGATCAATAGGAAATAACTGATTGCTAAGGGAAAAAAGCATATTCCAAGAAGGTTGACCCGTAGAGTTACAGAACAGACAACCTTCGCTGAGAATTACACAAGTCTTAAATGTGAATTTTGATTGTAGAAGAAATAAAAAATTGTCATTACCCTCACAAATACAAAGTTAACAATTATATATAGGAAGTGGTAAACCAAAAATAAGTTTTTACTCTATCTAGCAGATCTCATGTCTTCTGCTGTTCACTGTATTTTCAAGTTCAGTAACAGAATATTCTGCTGGAGAGAAACATAGAACTCTGGGCTTTAAGGCAGGATATAAAGGCAGAAATAGATTCAGCTCCACAGACTAGGAACACTGAGAATTCAGAATCTCCTGTTAGTGAATTCTGCAGTACCTTGAAAGTCATCAAGGAAAACAGACTTGTAGTGAGACTGGCTCAGCCAGCAAAATGGTTCAGAGGGGTACAGTCGCCTAGAAACAGACACCTCTCTATGCAGTAGTATGTCATATTTCCATATGTTAAAGAGTCAGTGCCTGAATTCTTACATGCAAATGTCTAAATTCAGATTCTTTAGCCTGTATCTAACAAACGGATAGATGCGTTGGAGTAAAACTTCTGGAGAGGGAAGATGAAGATTGAAGCACTCTCTACTCTGAAGCCACATACCCTTATTGCTTGCTACTTCAAGCCTTTAAGTCGGACTGTATCCACATCACATAAAAGCAATTTAATTCACAGTACCTAAAGTCCCCCCTGTTGTATTGGCAGGCAACATGGGAACCTCTCCAAAACTGATTTTAGAAAGGGAAAAACGAAATTGCTGTTGGTCTCACAGTAGCAATGCAGTACAGGGACAGGGAGTGAAAACTGATCCAGGAACACTCTAGGGAACCTGCTTTAGTAGGGAGGTTGTACTAGATGATCTCCAGGCATCCCTTCCAATCCCTGTGATTCTGTAACACCATATCTGGCTCATAAACACTGCAACTGAGAATAAGTTTGGAACTGCCCCAAGAAAAAGACAACCAATGTGCAAAGAGATGGAAGTGCTTGTTTTCTTGTTCACATGTGAGTTGCAAACAGAGAAAACAAGCTCCTCTATCCTCTTGCAACCCATCCTGGAAGTTTATTAGATCATCTTAAAAATATATGAAATAGATGACAGAACATACAGAGTAAGGAGTACTCCAATCCAGGGGAAAAAAATAAAAACTAAATCTAGCTGGCATTTGTGATATTCAACATAAAATGACTTCCTTCTAAATATTTGACATATAAATAGATTTAGCTGGTATCAAGCAACCTCCAAACTTACAGAAGTTGAAATCTTTTTTGCTGTCTCTGTAATTGCCTGCCCCAATGGCTTCCAAAGGTGGAATGCATAACGACCTGAAAAAAATGAAGTCAAGGGAAACCATAAGTGCCATTTAAACACACACATACACTAAATGTCTGACATCTGTTCATTAGCTTGAAGCAGAAAGAATTTTGGGTTATAAAACAAAATTATTCTTCACTGTTCACCTTCTCATTCCGTTTATTTTCTGTATGGTACCTTTGCACTTTACTGTTTTTCAAGATATTCCCTCAATGTCTGGTTTTGAATCCTGCCCAGCAGAAGTCCTGGGTAGAAGTCCTGTGACAAACTTGCAGAGGTTTACATTTTTCAGTCTTCATACTGAGAGTATGTGGGGAGGTAATGCACATAATATAACAACATAGTCACGGTCTGCAAACATCCATTGTGTTTGTGCACAAAATAAATAAGATTTCAATATGACAAATGAAGTTATCAGCATTGTGAACTTTAAGATAAAGTGCAATAAGAACACTAGCTTTGGATATGCATTATTTATTAAATAACATTCAAAGGTTATGTCTTCCAAAAAAATATATCTACATACTACATGTATCTTGATGTAATGTTGCACGCTCAATCACATATTTTGTACATTCTACATTTTATTTTCTTACAAAGGGAAGACCTTATGGGATTCAGAGACATTCAACTCTCAAATGGCAGTGAACATCTATGGCTAAGGGTACATGAATCTATATTAGACTTTGTTCTCTGAAGCACAAAGAAGGTCTACCAACTTAAGAATCAAAATTTGTACTGTTACTGGTAGCTTTCCCTGTAGGTTCTAACCCTTCAATTTTTGTTTTGATTAATTATTCATTAGGAATGTAATTTGTTATTAAATATAATGGGAAAAAAACATTTTTATAAGACATGGCTCTCCCTGACTCAAAGTACATCTTGCTTTCAGTCTTAAAATATAGGATATCTCTGTAAGTTATTGTAGCCATCTATGTCTGTCAGTGCTAGCACAGAAGTCAAAACCCCTGTTGGAGTACCATTGCTGAAAAGCTGTCATGTATTAATAACATATTACCTCACCTTCTTAAAGCTTACAATTACCATTTCATTGTTAGTGATCACTACTAATTTAGCTTAACCAGCAGAAGAAATTCCACTTCTACTGTGTTCTCTTTCTATATGAGGATATAGATATGAACTGCCTTCTTAATAGATGTGTACCACCAAGTATCTTGCCTCTCCTTCCACTAATTAAAATAAAACAGCTGCACTCACAAAATACCTGCTGACTTTTTTTGTATTAGGATGTATCTATATGCATATATTCTTGGCACATGCATTTGCACACAGCTGAGCATGGCTGAGTTTACATCCTGAAAGTAATGGAAATTGATTTGTGTGTTTCAAAACTAGAATAGACCACACTTATCCCATCTGAATAAATCAGCATGTAAATCACATTAAGCCCACGACCTGTGTTCAGAAAAACAAATCCAGACGCAGAGTTCAGGGAACAAACAAGGTACTACAGGCACAGGTTAATGTGATGTATAACTGTAACTGCTAAAATCTTTCATTCCACCCTGTTTGAATTTCTCAAGCACCACCTTCACAGCACTAGATCCTGCTGTACTCTTCTGTAATAAGGAGCCTTACCTTGCAACACCCTTTTGTATGTGTATCATATAGCATAATCCTTTTACACTATATTTTGCAGACAGAGAGCATGCAGAACCTTTTCAATGCTGCCCACAAAACAAGTTTCTCTAGCAGTGACTTTTTCAAAAAGAATTTTGGAAAACGTACCAAGGATTCTGAAGTGATGGGAACTACAAAGGGACATGATTCTCCACAACAGCCACTTCCCAAGTGGTTTTCATAAAAACTTCATTAACCTCATTGGAAACAGCAGTAGGCAGATAAGTGGATCCACAGTCAGCTGGTAATTTAGCTTACCTGCAAATGCAACAGTTGCCACACCGAGTCCAACTGCTATCATAGATCTGGCCTAAAGCAAGAAAATAGGAATCAGAATGAACTGCACATTCTCATTTGGAATATATGCATCTTTAACAGTAAGTATTTTTGATGTCTGCTGTGAGCATTTAATATATAATTTATATGAAATATGAAGTATGTATCTTTTTTCCAAAGGCTACATCAAATCTTATAGCACTGCCTCATTAACCTATGGCAGTGCTTCAGGTTTAAGCTGGATTAGCAAATCAGTGAATAAACACTAACAAAGTAACACACAGTATGAAATAAAAAACACATGGCAGACTCTGCTCAGGATTACTGGAATTTTTATGCAAAGACTATTTCAACACCATCTGAAACAACGTTCACTGTAAAAAAAAGTATTAGTTTATCACAAAACCATGGGGAACAAAACAGTCCCATCCCATAGCTGCAGCCACAAACATTAGTGTCTTCCATTGTTCATCCCTTGACTCATGGAAGCCACAGTCAGACACAGAGCCTGGTAATCTCTTCTCATTATTTACTGTCAACCACTGTCTGAACGCTTAAATTACAGTATAAATATTTGTATGACAGTTTTCAGACAGTTTTCGTTATTGGCTTAAATTTGCTGTAGGTCTAAAAGTCTTAAATTTGTTTTAAGTCTCTTGCAACCAAACCCACAAAAAGATTTGAACATCTGATTCAGTAGTAACTCCTAACTCCTGCTAACTCAAAAATCCCAAATAGGGTGGGTATATTTTTCTCTGCAACGCCCTGAAGGTCTGGAAACTTACGAAGGACCATAGGAAATATCTCCTTGAGATGTTGAACAAGAAGCCTCTAAATGATATGCAGCCGAACTGACTTCTCAACCATTTCCAGAATTCAAGGATGAAGAACATTGCAAGCCTGAGTGTCTGGTGTATGGTAGTATCTATCCATATCTGATAGTTTAATAACACCTTGAACTTTTCCCCAGGAAGCAACAGAAATCAGATTAGGCCTGTTTAACTGGATTTCAAAACAAACACCAGTGAAAACGTTTTTATCACCAGATTGATTCTCCTCTGGATGGCTTTCTGCTCTGCATTTAACCAATAGCTCATTCACAGATTTTCTACCAACAAATCTGAGAGCGGAACTGCATGCCCAAATTTTGATGTGCCCCAAAAAGTAGATTTAGTGGCTAAAACTCTTGTACTCAATCTCATTCCCAGGCAGAGTAAGGGAAGAGTTGAGAAATAGGGATTTTTAAGCTTCCTAGAGCTGCACAGGGGCTAGAGCACAGGTCAACAATCTTTCCTGCACTCAGGTGGCTATGCAAAATGGCAGCATTTCCACCACAGCCAGCAGCTCCTGTCTGGCTGTGAAGGAAGGTGACAGTCGCTGCTGCCTGTAGCATTGAGCTCAGAACAGAAGAAGCAGCAGGTAGAGATAGGACCATGAGGAATGGTTTTAAACTGAGACAGGGGAGGTTTAGGTTAGATAGTAGGATGAAGTTTTTCACACAGAGGGTGGTGACGCACTGGAACAGGTTGCCCAAGGAGGCTGTGGATGCCCCATCCCTGGAGGCATTCAAGGCCAGGCTGGATGTGGCTCTGGGCAGCCTGGTCTGCTGGTTGGCGACCCTGCACATAGCAGGGGGGTTGAGACCAGATGATCATTGTGGTCCTTTTCAACCCAGGCCATTCTACAATTGGGCTATGCTGACCACGAGCATAACATAGTATTGCAATTGCTGAGAGGCTTCTGGTACGAAAAAAAGAAAACAAAGAAATTCTACACACACTGGGAGTGGAGCTCCAAAGTTAAGACTGAAGGAATTTTGCCCAGAGGTGCTTTAAAGTCACCTCTCTACTCCATTTTATCATAGACTGAAGTCCTGCTATTAGCATTCATGCCTGAATGTAAGCATGTAAAAATAATGCAGTAGTTTAATATCTGTTCTTCCTTCCAGTTGCACAGTTTCCCTTCCTCTTCAGGCCATGAAAAATAAAAGTATGCTACCTCAGATGGTAAAGGAAATAAAACAGTGAAGCACACTGTTCATCTCCTCATTAAAGTTTTCTACTTCTTCACACAGATCAGTTTTCGCAGGCTCTCAGTATTCAAATATGAAATCATATTCAAATATGATTCTTCTAATCCCCCTGTTTAAAGACTAACCACCAACAGCCACAATGCTTCTGGAAATACCAAAAACTCTAAAGAAATTATATATTATTCTGTTCTGTGGCTTGTGATCACGGATTTACATGCAGTAGAGACTTTCCTTGACTCATTCAGACTGACTGTGGGAATCTTTTACTAAGTGTTTACAGTCAATTAAGAGCCCAACAACGCGTGAAATAGATAATATTGAAAAAAAATATATATTTATTAGCCTGTGCTTGTCAAAATTTATTCTTGCCTTGCCACCAAAAGGTAGATTATGTCAGCTTCAGTACCTTGTCAGTTTACAACAAGGTACACTGCCACTGGTAAGAGACACCTCATCACAGGTAAAGGCAGAACGTTGACGTAAGGCTAATAAATGATACTTGGACTCCATCAGCTCTGCACAGAAATTGCTTAAGTGTTCTTGCAGAGTGGTCTGTAAGCAGTGTAGATTCCCTGAGCACTGTGTCCACTGGGCTATATTATTTCAGCCTCAGTGGAATGCACAAGCAGTTACAGGAAAGCTAGTGAAAAACAGCACTTAAAATAACATAAGTGTTATAGTAGTTCTAGGATAGGAGTGCTAAGCAGGACCAGCAGCAATCCGAAGACCAGGCAGAAAAGTAGCTAAAGTGATGGGGTGATCAAGCCACAGAGCCATGAGAGACTGCCCATGTTTACAGGTGAGATAAAACTATCCAAAAAGCTGAGAAACATCAAAATAGAGTAACATCCCTTATTTATGTTAGCAGCAGGTTAGAAAAGAGTCACTTGCTATGTATTAGCCACAATGGTAACTTGTCACCTCAAAGCATCCTGAATGTTTGTTATAGTGTTATACTGAATATGGTGTGAAACTGAATTTAAATCAGTAGAACCAAGATTGCACAGTTCATCTTTTACTACCACAGAGTCTCTTTTTAAGCTAATGGTATCTTCACTTAAGGTGAAGTCCAGTCTGTCCCAGTTTTCTTTTCCACGCTCACTTAACTCAGATGATTATTTAGAAGGAGAAATCAAGGTTAGTCTGGAACTTCAAAATACACAGCAGCAAATTTTATTGTTACGACCATAAGGCTTTAATTACAGGCACTCTTCTCGTCAGTATGAAAGGAAAGCAACTCGCTCTCACATCTACCACCATGAGCTTTTTTGGTTCACACTGCTTTAACATGCATGCTATTTCATATTCAAAGGCTCAAAATATTAATAGACACTCACTGACTTCAGCTATGGCAGAATTGACTTTTTTGGAGGGAGGGTGAAGGGGGAAGGTGATTTAATATTTTTTAAATATGTAGGTTTATATAAGAAAACATTCCTTAAGATCCAAGAGGGGAAAATAAAGAAATAGAAGATTAAAAAGTAACATCTGTCCCTTTCTTTATTCAATGAATCAGCTCCCAAAGGTTAGTCATCAACCCTGTGCTATTGCTGATCTCAGTCTTTTATTATGAAGTTCAGTTTTACTAACAAACCCTCTAAGATACAGATAACAGTAAAACTAAGTTTTGCTAAATCTGCAAAGTTTTGTTTTTTCATCTTTAGAGAAATGTCTGTAAGGAAATACATCCACAAGACTTACCAGAGTATTTGGTAAACAAAAGATAAAGCATACTGACAGACAGTATATCTAAAGGTATACACCAGACACCACTTCATAGAGAGGTCCAAGAACTAATCCTTTAATATGTAAGTTTCCTGTAGCCTTAATCTTTTTAAGCAGAAGAAACTGGGAAGAGTAAGATATTCCTAATCCACAGCACTCTGCTTTACAACCCTCTTCTATAAAGTAGAAAAAAAGAAGTTAAAAGATATAAAAGGCAATTTCAAATGCATAATTCTAAAATTTCAGCACAACACTGTTAGATCTAACAAGCTATGAGAACAAACTTTATAGACATTAAAACATACCTGCCTGCACAAGATTTGGATTTTATACTCTGGTTCTTCTACTGCAGTCAGTGAAAACACCCTCCTTGGTCAAACAAAAAGTATTCTGCTTTTCTAACAACTAGCTTTAAGATATACCGCTAGGGCTCTATACTTTTTTAGGGCCACAGACAGCTATAGTGAAATGGAATAAAAAGCATGTAGAAAAACAATTATTTGTTCTGATGGACTGGACAGCAGTTTGTTAGTAGCCCATGGTTAATTGTGAATAGGTAAAAATAGGGATGTATGTACCTGAAATAAGTAAATGCACAAATGTAATATGCTTAACTAGAAACATCGTTTTAAAACCATGTTTGTTTTTTAAAACAGCTGTATGTATGCTGCTAAAAATTAGAACTCACAAGGATATTAACCAAGCATGCAGAACTATTTCCAAGGCTTTTTTCCCTTATTTAAACATTCTAGACCTCAAATAAATGACTGCATCTGGCGTGGAAGTTACAAGAAGGTTGCTATTCCCCAGAAGAGTAGCTACAGTACTAGAAGGCTTCAGAGTTTATTAGAAGGTTTCAGAGCAAACCACCTAATTGGCTGTATATGGAGCTGGATGCACTGGGATTATATTATAAACTACCTGCAGCAGATTTGATTTCATAACTTAATGCTTTCTGTCCATTCTCACCTCCCTATGAAGTTTATTTTCCAATAATAAATTAAAACTAGTTTCAGCTAAAAGCTCATCTCCATACACACCCAATTTTCATGTCTACTTACTTCATTTATTTTATAGTAACTTTCTGGTTTTTCATACGAAACTACTACAAACTTACAAGTTTCTGACAATTTTTCACAGGGGACTCTACCAGAGCAGTAGATTCACTAGCAGAAGTGTTAATGCCAGGCATTCAACCAGCCTTCCTGGATATGTATGCATTATTAATGAATTCTTACAGCTGTCTTCACGGACTCTATGCTTTCACTGTTGTTTTTCTGTCACTCCAAACTTCTGAATGCTTCAGTAAAACAAGTATAGTGACCTAGAACAAGTGACTTCAGTTATCATCCTGCACAACTTAAAAGCAAAATTCAGTTTGGGAACAGAGCTGTTTCAGCCCTGAAGGTGATGTTTGTTATCCCATTTCATCTCTGTAACCACACCCTGTTACTCTGTAGCAAGATGAGGTATACTGGGCTTACATAGCAAGCCTGTGGGTAGCTGGGGAGCTGCAGGAGTGTCCTCTTGTGAGAAGAGCCCAGCAGCAGCTGCCCCATGTCAGATTACTTAGAAGAGATGAAGTCATTTAAATTAATTTATGTTCCCATCTTTTGACAGTAGTCTCTAACCACCACAGAGATGCTACATCTCTACCCATACTAACCATAGATGAGCAGGTATGGCTGTATGTAAAAGAATGTAGTATCTCAGCGTCTGGAGCCTCATGGATGGACTTCCTTCCCTTTTTGCTACGAGGCTCATAATTACTGCTGCTCATAATCTCTGAACCCCAGTGTGTGAACCCCAACGCTGGTCCTCGCTCAGCTTCTCCCAGATGACGAGCCGCCAGGAGAGAGTGACTTTTTTCGCTGAGACTTCCACAGAACCAGCAGAAATTAGAGCCTGCTCTAATAGAACTCACGCAGCGTGGAAGGATTTGACATCTCCCGTCTCCCTACGGTAGGGAAACACAACTTCAGCTTTCCCGTGGCTGACAGAACCTCACGTTTAACTCCGCGTTAAATGGGAACAGACTGCGATCCCACCAGGCATGGCCTTGGGCGAGGCGCCAACACCGCCCTCCCTGCCCGTGGCGGATGCCGGCCCCGGCGGAACAACGCTATGAGGGCAGAGCTCGCTGCTCTGCCGCCCCGCCGCCTGCCTGGCTCTCAGCGCGCTCACCAGTCTCCGGTCAAGTTCGGTTTGGCCCTTGCCGGCGCCCGTAGGGCCCCTAGCGTACTCGGCGTAGCGCAACGCTTCAGAGGAAGCCCCGGCTCCCTCCATGATGGCGGGCGTGACGGCGGCGCTACGGGCCGTACAGAGGGACAAAGCAGCTGAGGAGGCGAAAGGCAAAGCGCCGCACTCCCGCGCCGCTCAGCTCTGACCCCGCCTCGCGAAGGCGGAGAGAGGGCGGGCGGTACCACAGCGTTTTGTGGGGGGAGGGGGAAACGGTCACCGACGTGGCTCGGTCTTCTCGGCTTTGTCGTCGCCTCCCGGTGTTACCGTGAGGATTACCCGCCTCCCGCCCCCTTCGAATCTGGTGGCTCCCTCTTCACTGAGGACGGGCGGCTAATTGGACGGGTGATGGTGAGGAGGGCTGGGGATGTGTGTCCTTTTGTCCTCACGGCTTGTATTTTTTGCACCTTACTTGATGTCCGTGTATAGAATGGTAGAACCGTAGAATGGCTTGGATTGGAAGGGACCCCAAGGAGCATCAAGTTCTAACATTCTAGCCACAGCCAGAGCCATCAACCTCCATATCTAATACTAGACCATGTTGCCCATGGCCCCGTCCAACCTGTCCTTGAACACCTCCAGGGACAGGCATCCACAACCTCTCTGGACTGCCTGTTCCAGCACCTCACCACTCTCGTATAAAGAACTTTCCTCTTGCATCCAATCTAAACCTTCCCTGTTTAAGTTTAAAACCATTCCCCCCTTGTCCTATCACTATCTACCAGAGTAAAAATTTGATTCTCCTCCTCTTTATAATCCCCTTTTAAATACTGGAAGGCTGCAATGAGGTCTCACAACCTTCTCTAGGCTGAACAAGCCCAACTCCCTGAGCCCTTGTAGACTTCATAGGTAGGTGCTCCAGCCCTCTGATCATCTTTGTGACCCTCCTCTGGACAGTATCCAACAGCTCCGCACCTTTCCTGTACTGGAGGCCTCAGCATGTGACAATGCATTATGATTTCCTGAAAATGCTGCCTGTTGGGATCAAGGTTCATCCTACTGAAGATTTCCAAGTGTTACCTCAAATGCAGTCGTTGGCAGTCGCCGTTAGTCCTATATCACTAATTGCAAAATGCTCCATCTCTTCTCAGTAATACAGCATAACTGGTCTTCCTTTGCCCTTTATCTAAGAGGTTTGCCATATGTCTTAACTGGTGGCACTGGAGTTGAATTGTCTGGGGACACTGGGACACAACCAAAAGAATTACTCTCTTTATCTCCTGTTTCAGAGAGTGATTTTTTCTTCCAAGACATCATTCTGAGCACGTATCACAGTTCTGTACATACGATTGATACTTACTAATCTTCTATAACATTGAAAGGCAACTGCTTTAATTCAACTTTAAGTATCTTCATAAAGTACAGCTATTAGCTCAAAGATGAGTTGACCATATATAGCATTTAATTAATCTTTGGCAGATGTCTAAATTTTACTTGATACAGCACAAAAGCCATTGGAAGTTGTACGATGATCCATCTGGCAAGAAATAAATACCTTCTTACTTCTTCATCCAACATGCAACATTACTATACATGATTAATATTTTATATTTGCAGAGGAATTGAATTTCTTGTAATCTTAAAACCTATTTTCAAGTCCATGAAAATATCCCCAACTCATCATTTTTTGTTCATTCATTTGCATAGAAGCAATGCAGAATAGCATGTCACTTACTACCTTTCAAATAGCACGCTCAGAAACTGAAAGTACTGACTTTTTTTTTCTCCTTTATTCTCCTTTCTTGTGTAGTATAGCAACTTGCTCAGAAAATCTGTGTCTCTCCTGATGAGTTAATGTTCTCTGTCAAAAGATAGTCATCTCTAAAAGAATAAACTTTGTGTTTATTTTGGGGACAAAGCTAAAATGGTAAGAAATAAAAAGAAGCCAAATAAATAAGAGTAGGAGAAAGTACGAAGCAAATCACTAAAGTGAAAGATTATAGAAATTCTCTCCTTTTTTTTTGGTTTCAGTTTATGCAAAAGTTTTTTTCTTTTTATATCAAAAAAGTATTCAGACATAAAAGTAGCCCCCTAGAATCCACTGATTCAATGATAGTTATGATAGTTATTCATTTTTACTACTGTGTGTGATTAGCTGGGTAAAGGTAAGAAATAGGTGTGGGTGGCTCTGAAAAAGCCTCACTGCTTCGAAAAGATCAGTGAACAAGCAGCAGCAATGGAAAACAAAACAAAACAAAAAACACAGCATCAACAATAATGAATTTAAACACTGCTTTGTAGTTTTGAAACTCCCCCCGGCCCCCACCCAAAAAAAAAAAAAAAGCCAAATTAGTTTATAAGGGTTGTCATATGCAGGTATACAACTGTAATCTACAAGTGCTAAGTGGTACCATGTTTATTCCCTCTCTCAGATATTATGCATATTGTTAGGATTCCTCCCTCTGAGCCTTCTCAAGGCTAAAAAATCTCAGCTCTGTGAAGCGAGGCCCCTAAACCAGATGTTCCAGTTTCTTCATTATCTTTGTGGCCTTTTTCTGGATTCACTCCAGTATGTTCATATTTCTTTTGTACTAGGGAGTCCAGCACTGAACTCAACACCCACCTCAGAGATGTGATCTCATCAGGGATGAACAGACAGGAAGATCCACCTCCCGTGACAACACTGGCCCTCATGCATCCTAGCAGGCTGTCATCCTACTTTGCTGCAAGGGTGCTTTGCTGGCTTATGTTCAACTTGTCTTCCAGGAATTATTTGCTTGGCCACCTTCTCTGGGTTGAGGTGAAGTTTACTGACCTGCATTTCCTCAGATCCCTCTCTTTTCCACCTGGGCATTAGTTTTATTTTTCTTCCATCTGCTGCTCTTGCCTGATTTCTGTATGTTGGGCTGGATTGTTCTTAAGCTTTAGAAAGTGATCCTTGAGAATCAAACAGCTCTACTAGACTCTTCAGTTCTGTATCTCAAGGGATCCTGCAAAGCAGATCTCTAAGATTCCTATAAACAGGCTGAAGCCTGCTTTCTTTAAGTCCATGGTTGTGACCCTGCTAATTGCACTGACATCTCCATGCAACCATCTCCACTGCAACCTTTGTACCCCTTGATACAAGAAAGACAGGGAGCTGTTGGAGAGGGTCCAGAGGAGGTCCGCAAAGATGATCAGGGGACTGGACACCTCCCCCATGAAGACAGGCTGAGGGAGCTGGGCTTGTTCAGCCTGGAGAAAAGAAGGCTGCGGGATGACCTCATTGCAGCCTTTCAGTACCTAAAGGGAGCCTATGAACAGGAGGGGAATCAACTCTTTGGAAGGGTAGATAGCAGGACAAGGGGAAATGGTTTTAAGTTGAAGCAGGGAAGATTTAGGTTGGATGTCAGGGGGAGGTTGTTCACTGTGAGAGTGGTGAGGTGCTGGACCAGGCTGCCCAGAGAAGTTGTGGCTGCCCCGTCCCTGGAGGTGTTCAAGGCCAGATTGGATGGGGCCCTGGGCAGCCTGGTGTAAGATAAATGTGGAGGTTGGTGGCTCTGGCTGTGGTGGGGGTTGGAGCTTGATGATCCTTGGTGTCCCTTCCAATCCAAGCCATTCTGTGATTCTATGATTCTATGACAAAATTTTCTCCATTTGTAAGCATCAGGTCCAGCAGAGCATCTCCCCTTTTCAACTTCTTGATCACCTCTGCAAGGACAGCATCATCAATACACCTCAGTAACATCACTCATCATTGTAATGGTAGCAGAATTTGGCCTTTAAAGACTCTGGGCCACTCTGTAGCCTATCTAAACATCTCTAGCAAATCTAGATGGAAAACATTTATCTGAATGTCTTCCTCGTATCACCAGCTATGCTAGTATTATCATTTTCTGAATAGAGACTCAAGAAGAATATAGATTAAGCAGAGACAACCAGCTAATCAACACAAGGAAAACAGATCTTTTGCTGGGAGTGAAAGAGGTCATTTCCTCCTGAAGCAAAGAGGGGAGAAATGAAAGCTGCTGGATCTCTGATGATGGTTTTCTAACCTAAGCTCCTCACAGCACAGCACAGCTATGTGCTATGCTATGCATAGGGTGATACTGGTAGGGGCAAATTGTTGGTATTTTAATGTAAACCTAAACACCAATGTATTCCAGCTTTTTTTTCTTTTTTGCTATGAATGTGTAGCAATATTGTCCATATATGTATGCCATTTAAGTTAGTTGCATATTTCTCCTGTAAATGACTTTCCTAAACAGTCTGCATTACAGTACTCCATTGCAGTCAGGATCAATGTTGACAAGAGTCTCTGGCAGGAATTAAGAAGAATCAAGAAACCAGATCAAAGTTTGCAAAATTGATACCAAGCATTTTGCTTCTATTCTTTACTACTGAGAATTTCCAAAGTACCTGCAAGTGTAGCAGCTGACCAGTGACATTAGAATGGCAAGGACTGAAGTTTCATGCTGAAGATTAAAGTTTCTGAGGTCATGCAGAGAAGGGAGTATAATTGCAAGTTATCAAGAAAATCATAAGGCGTATCATATAAAATTGGTAGAGCCAGTAGCTGAGCCTTCCTGAATTGTCATGTGCATACAAATGAATAAAGAATAAATCTTTCCAGCCACAGCAGCAGGATTAGAAGTTGGAAGAGTTCATTGCTCCTAAATGCATTGGTATGTTTCTTCAATTACCGTAATACACCATAAAAGCAAAAAAAGGCTCGAGCTAATTCCTTTAAGTAACATATTCTGAAACATTAAACAATAAAGAATGTAATGTTCTCTCTAGATAACATAATAATTGTCTGTGTGACACCTTTGGTTGACTAGGTACCACAGGGAAGTACATTATGCAAAATCCTAAGCTGGAACTAATCATGGCCTTCAGGAATTGTAAGAGTACAATTATTCCTTGAAGAAGTGGTGGAGAAGACGGCATGTATGGCAAAAGGCTTTGTGAATAGCGTTAAAATAATTTATGTACAAGTGGGTCTCCTCTTTAAAAAACTGCTAAGAAAAGTATATATATCTGTGAATTGTAAAACAGTTACATTAATATTGCCAGACCTCTCAAGGATTCTTCCTCCTGACCACAGTGCTGCAGAGTTAGGTGTAAGAGCCCTTTGTTTCTGATAGCATTTGTGTTGTTTACCAGTTGA